GTAAAGGTTTGTCTCGATAAACATTCCTACAGCTAGTTTACCGTTAGGGTCCGTCTCGATAGACTTTCCTACAGCTGGTTTACCGTAAAGGTTTGTCTTGATAGATATTCCTACAACTAATTTAACGTAAGGTTATGTCTCGATAGACTTTCTTACAGCTAGTTTACAGTAAAGGTTCGTATCGATAGACTTTCCTACAGTTAGTTTACAGTAAAGGTTTGTCTCGATATACTTTCCCCTAGCTAGTTTACAGTTAAGGTTTGTCTCGATAGACTTTCCCCTAGCTGGTTTATCGTAAAGGTTCGTCTCGATAGACTTTCCTACAGCTAGTTTACAGTAAAGGTTTGTCTCGATAGACTTTCCTACAGCAGGTTTACAGTAAAGGCTCGTCACGATAGACATATAAGACATGTCTATTATTATTTCTCATTCGACGAAAGTTACATAACATCACATAACATCACAAAATATCACATAACATCACATAAATGCACATAGTATCAACATTCTTGTTTCTATGACCACCTACATTAATGATCACTGATCGATGATCAATATTTCAGAAATTTTCTTATATCGAAATGCGTTATAACCAATGCGTGACTTTAGCAGTTTTCGTGACATCCGTAATTGAGCTGATTGCCCACTGACTTGGTAACAGTTACCCCTCCCCGGGAGTAACAGCCTGTTAGACAGTTCGTGCTTTGTTTTGTATGTCTTAAACTCTCTTCTATCATGTCTGTTGACATAGCAACACCCGCAGGCATTGAGTCGATGTTGCACAGACATGGCGCAAGTCCCTTCAAAGAGATGTAGATGTTCGCCAAGCTTGCAAGTCAGTTCCCACCTGTTGTGCGAGTCTGAGGCACAACACTCCTGTAACGCTGTAACGCTGTAGCGCTGTAACGCTGAAGCGCTGTAATGCTGTAACGCTGCCGGTTCTGGTGTGTTCTGTGTGTCAGATAACATAGGAGGGTAAGGAAATGGACTGGCTTGATATTTACTGCATTGTCACAGTGCGTGAGTATGGTTTTACGCCGCTTCTAGCAAGATTCCAGCAACATCGCGGCGGAGGACACCAGAAACAGACTACATGTACCATGTGGGGAATCGATCCCGGACCATAGTGCTTTCATATTTATATTATCATTTTTCTCAAAAAAACATTTGATTCACGAATTTCAGTTTTGGGGTTAAAAAGGTACACTTTTCCACCGCACACTTCTGTTACTACAACCATTACTCAACCTTTTTCTATAACAAACTGTTTATGTTTGTTAAAAACTGGGAACTCAATTTCATGACACGGAATCATTATTGACTGAACGTAGCAGCGGGACAATAACCAAAGCGTTCCTCAAAAACAGCTGAACTTCTCGGCAGAAAGGTTTGGTATTCACAAAGGATTGATACCCGGATTCTAAAAGGCTTGTTTATAAAAGTGTCCAGTGACGCTTACCCGGGTTCTTTTGTTTGTTTGTTTGGTGTTGAACGCCGCACTCAATAATATTCCAGCTATATGACGGAGGTCTGTAAATAATCGAGTCTAAACCAGACAATCCAGTGATTGACATCATGATCATCGATCTACGCAATTGGGATACTGTGATATGCATCAACGAAGTCAGCGAGCCTGACCACCCGATCCCGTTAGTCGCCTCTTATGACAGTCATAGTCGCCTTCTCGGATTCTGAAAGGCTTGTTACCTATAAAAGTATCCGTTGACGGATTACCGTGTTTTAAAAGGCTTCTTTTCCACACAGTAATCCTTTGACGGATATCCGTCATTTGAAAGCTCTTGTACCCACAAACATATCCGGTGAGAACCGGGTCCATTTCCGGTAGGTACCCCGTGGTATCCGTCAGTAGTCCGGCGGAAAGAACCGTTAGGATGCTGCCCAGCCTGCCCTGTATCCCGACCTTGACCTTCACGGGCACTGTGATACATCCATTGAATCCTTGGTCCGTTGAAGGAAGTGTAGCGATTGTAAACCAGATGCTCCCATGACAACACGACGCCTTCCACGGCCCGATACATCAACGTTAAGTGTTTATATCTCCGTCTTGCGGAAAGACACAACTCATTATTCTTCCCCGCCCTTAAGGCGGGGAAGTATACGGGAAACGTTAATTTTGTGGCATGTATGTCGACATGTTGGTTTATTTGAAATTTCAAGCCACGCATTTACGGAAACAAAACATACAAATCATGTGCGTGGAATGTTGATGCTATTCTTTTCCAGCAATAAGATATACTTCAAAATCGTCTTTATATAGTTAATTGATGCATCTGACCGTTTCTGGTCATTAGCTGACATTATTAAACCATTCATGTGTACTCCTATGTCCTTTTTTCCTCAAGGACTAATTTTCTGATTTTCACGATGTATACAAAAGAAGAACTGTCCTCCGGAGATCGTAAATAACAGCATAATAAAAATTATGTTCTGAATATGCTTATTCATGAACAACGACGACATCTCAATTTAAATGTAATATGGCTGAATTCCATATTCTACATACCACACTTTTGATTGTTTGGATGCTCATGTTCACTGGAAATATTTAGAATAGTTATATTCCGTATTTTGAATTAACCCAGTCCCCGCGTTTTTTTTAATCAGTGCACCGCACATAGCAACATGTGAAACGTTTGGTAGCAAAGTCAAAGCAAGTAGTGTGTCAGCGAATTTGCATCAAAGCCGAGTATTTTTCAACCGTTTAATGGAATTCAATGTACAGCCGTAGCTCTGGTCACTCATATATTTTGTGTCCCGGCCATGGCTGAAATCTATTTGCGTCTGTACCGTGTTCCACTGACCTCGATAATCTGTGGGATGAAGGCACATCTCTCTACAGTCACATAGTTAACACCGAAGGCTATGAGGGGTATTTAGGTCACAATCAGCTCCCAGCAGCCACTGCCTCAAGCGATATTGTCTACATAACAGATCTGTTTTATGGCTCCGCCACTGCTCCAAATATTGAAGCAGGGAAAACAAATTTCATAGAATCATATCAACAAGCAATATTGATATCCCCGTCACTTTTGGTAACTTTTAATGATGTCTCCATTGCAATTTTTACGGATTTCGATTCGTATGCATTATTTGACTCTCATCAGCGGAATGGTTTGGGTCAGATTGATCCGAATGGACAAGCGGTTTTACTTCTGTTTAGTAGTATGGATGAATCTTTATGTTACATCTTAACAGTATATCAGGCGACTATGCTTGTCGTAAGAGGCGACAAACGGGATCGGATAGTCAGGCTTTCGTTGATGCATGGCATCGATCCCAATTGCGTGGATCGATGCTCATGATATTAGGCACTGGATTGTCTGGTCCAGCCTCGATTATTTACAGAACGCCGTCATATAGCTGGGATATTGCTGAGTGCGGCGTTAAACGACAAACCAATCAATCATCATCATATGAACTCAAACCAGTCATTGTTACAAGTAAACCACATTCCACAACAGTTACTGACACTGAATAAAAAACAGTACATAGAAAAAAAACAAGTAACTCAACTCATCATGATCACAATTACTATTCTTTGAAAGAAAGAATTACAAACAAGAAACTGACCAAAAAACGTAAAACAAGAGACGAGGAATCTCCGTTATTGATTAGTCCCGGTATTGAAATGTTCTCCAACTACGTGATAATATTTTGAGTATGTGCATCTGTGGTTGTGACAAAAAGACCTTATCTAGTATGACTTTTTTTTGCCATATGGAGCCCTTAGTATTTTCATTTACATTATTATAACCAAATGCCAAGTGTAAAAAGAATGTGATCTATTATTTGAGTATGTGCATCTGCCAATGTTGTTGGCAGTTTTGATACTATTTCCACATGTTTACATTTGAACCAGAAATTGCTTCCATTTCCTTCGATCTACTTTTTACATAAAGACCCAGGTAAGAATAGGTCTTCAGCAACCTATGCTTGCCGTAAGAGGCGACGAACAGGATTGGGTAGTCAGGCTCGCCGATTTGGTCGATGCATAACATCATATTCTAATTGCGTAGTTCGATGCTCTTGGTGTCAATCACTGGATGATCTGGTCCAGACTGGATTATTTACAGACCGCCGTCATATGGCTGGAATACTGCTGAGTGCGGCGTTAAACAAGAAACTATTTTTAAATAGACCTACCCTATGCACATGTATCACCTGTATTGCCCAATACTCAAAATAAATAATATTTTTTTCCACAACAGCGTTGTGTTATTTGTGGTTAATATAATTATGCTCCATCATGCCTTTCAGTAACATCATAATTATGCGTTTGTGAGGCATCACATATGGCGGGGAACTTTGATGCTCTGCATCAATGTTTTCTTGTGTATATTTGTTTCGAGCACATTTCCCACATCACTCCCACCACACAGCGAGCAGACCGTTGTATATAGGGCAGGAGGGGGGATCCACGCGGAGGGGGAGTTGGAGGAGGTGTTCTCAGTGAGAGACCTTGACTTCATCTCATTTGTTCTTGGTGGTTGCAAGCACTATTGGACTGCTGACAAACTATTCCTCCCAAAAGCATCGACTTACAATGGAATGCGCCATTTTGCCTTAAATTATGCTGATTTGACTATTATCTCTGCATGTGGAGACGGAAGACTCAACACACGCATAGAACACATGATTAGTATACATTGACATATATGTAACAATCATATCAATGTAGACAAACCTACAAGGACACCTCATGTTTTTACCCTGGAGTCGTAAAACATAACAGAACTCATCAAAATACGTTATCAAGCTTCGAAGTATTTCCCTTAACAAGATATAAAATATGTATCGCAAATAAATTATATTAAAGGAAAGAGAAGAGCAAGTATATTACCTCTGGGACAACGATTACCGTTGGCATAACTAAACAAAAAAAGAGAATTCAGTTCAGTTCCAAAATATATTCTAATTCCGCTAAAACATTCATTTGGATTTTATTGTAGGTGAGAACATGTAGAGAAAGCAGCACTAACCTGTTGCTCGGCGCTTCTGCTCGCCCCAAACAAGTGGTGGAGTTATTTTCGTGAGTAAATGTGCCAGAGTTAAGAGCCGTGTGCAGACCAGGGGGCGGGGATGCTCGTCGTTGTTCATCCTGTTGTCATGGAAACTGCATGCATCGGATACAGATTCCAAGTTGAGTGTTTTCTTGATGGAATGATTCCGTGTGATCTGCACCTGAAATACGGCGACTTCACTGAACCGTAAATATAGGATATATGACATACGTATTCCCTACACCGGCGGATATAGCATATATAACATACGTATTCCCTACACCGGCGGATATAGCATATATAACATACGTATTCCCTACACCGGCGGATATAGGATATATAACATACGTATTCCCTACACCGGCGGATATAGCATATATAACATACGTATTCCCTACACCGGCGGTTATAGCATATATAACATACGTATTCCCTACACCGGCGGATATAGCATATATAACATACGTATTCCCTACACCGGCGGATATAGCATATATAACATACGTATTCCCTACACCGGCGGATATAGCATATATAACATACGTATTCCCTACACCGGCGGTTATAGCATATAAAACATACGTATTCCCTACACCGGCGGATATAGCATATATAACATACGTATTCCCTACACCGGCGGATATAGCATATATAACATACGTATTCCCTACACCGGCGGATATAGCATATATAACATACGTATTCCCTACACCGGCGGTTATAGCATATAAAACATACGTATTCCCTACACCGGCGGATATAGCATATATAACATACGTATTCCCTACACCGGCGGATATAGCATATATAACATACGTATTCCCTACACCGGCGGTTATAGCATATAAAACATACGTATTCCCTACACCGGCGGATATAGCATATATAACATACGTATTCCCTACACCGGCGGTTATAGCATATAAAACATACGTATTCCCTACACCGGCGGATATAGCATATATAACATACGTATTCCCTACACCGGCGGATATAGCATATATAACATACGTATTCCCTACACCGGCGGATATAGCATATATAACATACGTATTCCCTACACCGGCGGATATAGCATATATAACATACGTATTCCCTACACCGGCGGATATAGCATATAAAACATACGTATTCCCTACACCGGCGGATATAGCATATAAAACATACGTATTCCCTACACCGGCGGTTATAGCATATAAAACATACGTATTCCCTACACCGGCGGATATAGCATATATAACATACGTATTCCCTACACCGGCGGTTATAGCATATAAAACATACGTATTCCCTACACCGGCGGATATAGCATATATAACATACGTATTCCCTACACCGGCGGATATAGCATATATAACATACGTATTCCCTACACCGGCGGTTATAGCATATAAAACATACGTATTCCCTACACCGGCGGATATAGCATATATAACATACGTATTCCCTACACCGGCGGATATAGCATATATAACATACGTATTCCCTACACCGGCGGTTATAGCATATAAAACATACGTATTCCCTACACCGGCGGTTATAGCATATATAACATACGTATTCCCTACACCGGCGGATATAGCATATATAACATACGTATTCCCTACACCGGCGGATATAGCATATATAACATACGTATTCCCTACACCGGCGGTTATAGCATATAAAACATACGTATTCCCTACACCGGCGGATATAGCATATATAACATACGTATTCCCTACACCGGCGGTTATAGCATATAAAACATACGTATTCCCTACACCGGCGGTTATAGCATATATAACATACGTATTCCCTACACCGGCGGATATAGCATATATAACATACGTATTCCCTACACCGGCGGATATAGCATATATAACATACGTATTCCCTACACCGGCGGTTATAGCATATAAAACATACGTATTCCCTACACCGGCGGATATAGGATATATAACATACGTATTCCCTACACCGGCGGTTATAGCATATATAACATACGTATTCCCTACACCGGCGGATATAGCATATATAACATACGTATTCCCTACACCGGCGGATATAGCATATATAACATACGTATTCCCTACACCGGCGGATATAGCATATAAAACATACGTATTCCCTACACCGGCGGATATAGCATATAAAACATACGTATTCCCTACACCGGCGGATATAGCATATAAAACATACGTATTCCCTACACCGGCGGATATAGCATATAAAACATACGTATTCCCTACACCGGCGGATATAGCATATAAAACATACGTATTCCCTACACCGGCGGATATAGCATATAAAACATACGTATTCCCTACACCGGCGGATATAGCATATAAAACATACGTATTCCCTACACCGGCGGATATAGCATATAAAACATACGTATTCCCTACACCGGCGGATATAGCATATAAAACATACGTATTCCCTACACCGGCGGATATAGCATATAAAACATACGTATTCCCTACACCGGCGGATATAGCATATAAAACATACGTATTCCCTACACCGGCGGATATAGCATATAAAACATACGTATTCCCTACACCGGCGGATATAGCATATATAACATACGTATTCCCTACACCGGCGGATATAGCATATATAACATACGTATTCCCTACACCGGCGGATATAGCATATAAAACATACGTATTCCCTACACCGGCGGATATAGCATATATAACATACGTATTCCCTACACCGGCGGTTATAGCATATAAAACATACGTATTCCCTACACCGGCGGATATAGCATATATAACATACGTATTCCCTACACCGGCGGATATAGCATATATAACATACGTATTCCCTACACCGGCGGATAATCCACGCTTGAAATGTCGACAATCGTTTGCCAACACTGTCCCATAATTCCACAAAACTTTGAACACTCTTCATAATCAGTGAAGTTAGTTGGTAATGTTTTATGCCGCTTTAATCAATATTCAAACAATATCACGACAGGTGACAGCAGAAATATATTTCAAAATGTTCCCTGGTGGGGGATCTAACACCGGCCCCCACGTGACGAGCGAACACCTCAACCACGGGGCACTTCACCCCACGTCAGCTGTAACAGGTTGTTTCCTAATGTTTCTATGCTATAAGTCGTCTTCCAGGATTGACGACCATAACTAATATAGTATTCACGAGCAGTATCGCAGAAAATGAGTGAGTGTGTGTGTGTGAGTGAGTGAGTGTGTGAGTGTGTGTGTGTGAGTGTGTGTGTGTGTGTGTGTGTGAATGAGTGAGTGTGTGAGTGAGTGAGTGTGAGTGAGTGAGTGTGTGAGTGTGTGTGTGTGAGTGTGTGTGTGTGTGAATGAGTGAGTGTGTGAGTGAGTGTGAGTGTGTGTGTGTGTGAGTGTGTGTGTGTGTGTGTGTGTGTGTGTGTGAGTGAGTGTGTGAATGAGTGAGTGTGAGTGAGTGAGTGTGTGAGTGTGTGTGTGTGAGTGTGTGTGTGAGTGAGTGTGTGAATGAGTGAGTGTGAGTGAGTGTGTGTGTGAGTGTGTGTGTGTGTGAATGAGTGAGTGTGTGAGTGTGGGAGTGAGAGTGTGAGTGCTTGTGTGAGTGTGTGTGTGTGTGTGTGTGTGTGTGTGTGTGTGTGTGTGTGTGTGTGTGTGTGTGTGTGTGTGTGTGTGTGTGTGTGTGTGTGTGTGTGTGTGTGAGTGAGTGTGTGAGTGTGTGTGAGTGAGTGTGTGAGTGTGTTTGGTGTTTCGGCGTTTCAGTCAGCTGGTATAGGAGGAATTCCCGAAGAGTTGACCAAATTGGCGAAACTCATGAGCACGGGAATGACGCCAACAGACGGAGACACTTATTCAGGGTGAACTGGGATTCGAACACACGATCATAGGTTTCTGGCAGCCTAAAGGACGCAAAATAGGATCACGTTTTCGTTACAAAATAAACTGCGAAAATATACGCTTGTAAATTTAATTTAACTGAAAAAATACAACGTTATCAAACGTTACTTGGCTCAAAACAGTCGCCGAAACACTGCAAACTTGTGTCAAGTCAAGGCAAATATTCTGCCCTATATTACACTGGCGGGCCTTCGGTACGTATGCATAAAAGTTGCATGTAAGTAGTTTTACATATTCGGATAAACTCGTAACAGTTCGTTACTAAGAGAAATTGCATTGTTTACAATTGAAGTCAGTTTTAATATGTCTCCTAAACAGGAATATGGTATCCGCATTTAATACATCACCATCGAATAACTATTCCGTGTTTCTTTCAAGTTTCAGCGCCAGTTTGTATTAAACCTAAGCTCGTGAACTGACTGTCGTCATAGTGATATTTCATATTTGTTTATGTTTACGTAACGTTATACCGTATTTACTCTGTTAGACGCCCGAGTGTCTATTAATTCCGTGCAAGCCGTCTGTTACACTAGGCCGGCGTGTATTTAGAGACCCGGCGTGTATTCTGGTTTATGATGACACAGTGGCAACTCACTACCGAATCCCACATTCTACAGTCATACCCAGTGTGCACTGGCAGGAGCCAGTCATGATTAATCACGAACATATATATCACAGTATACGAGACCCAGCGTCTAATAGAGGCCTGGCTTCTGTTTTCTGCGTCTGTGTTAAAATATGAGAGCTACGATCACCTTAGCGCTAAGATCGTACAACGGCACTCAGTGTCGCAATTGTATTACATTGTCTCTTTTGAGATTCAGTAGAAGATCAAAACATTGTGTTTTGACAATTATTATTTGTCATGAATGTAGTACTATCAAATGTAAGCAGTGGTGTGGAAGTTACTATATTTAGATGTTTTTGAGTCAAGTGTAATCTAGAATCTTCGGGAACAGTTAGTTTCGTCCAGCACTGAATAGAAACTTCCAGGGGATATTTATAGGTAAGTGCGTGGAAGTGCGTGGAAGTGCGTGCAAGTGCGTGCCTCTCTGATCGCACAACTCTCATTGACACGTGAAGATCCGGGGATGGAATAGGACTTCAGCAACCCACGCTTGTCCTAAGAGGCGGCTAACGGGATCGGGTGGTCAGGTTGATGCATGCCCTCGTATCCAAATTGCGTGGATCGATGCTCAGTGACTCGATTGTCTGGTCCAGAC